AAAAAAAAAAAAAAAACATTCAACATTGAGTATTACCTTCTCTGATGTCTCCTCATCGTACCCATCCTCACTATCAGACTCAGAAGCCAAAGTCAGAATCTCTGCTGATCGAGCTGCCTTGCTTAACTTATTCTTCTTCTCGTCTTCCCTCAACTGCTTAAATCTGTTTTTCACTTTCTTTTGGTCATTAATGGAAACATAAAGCATGTCAATAAACCTCTTCGGTTTAAAAATTACCTGTCACCCGTTCTTTCTGATTCGGACGTTCGTTTGGCACGTCCTGCTGTTATGATTCCAGAAGCATCCTCATTTACAACAGGCTTTGCACCTCCTAATTTGCGTAACCATACTTGCTGAGCTGTGCTGAGAACATTGTTGGTGAACCTAACATATGACATGATTTATTAGCTAATGTCAGCCAGTTTGTCTAAGAATAATAGATGTAGCATGTCTAATTTAGGAAAACATAGGCACTTATGATGTCTCAGCAAATGCATGTCAATACGAGCACAACAGAGGAAGATGTACACTCAGAAAATACAACAATCACAAGAAACTAACCAGTAAATTGATAACCCTGATGGAACAGACAAGGAGAAGTAACCGATCATGAGGGGAAGAAACTTGAAAATAAGGAGTGTGTTCTTTTGTGTTGGATCATCAGTCTGAATAAAGCAAATCAAATTCAGAATGCTTAAAGAGAGTTGAAATGGTCGATTAAACAGCAGATAAACTTGAGATATGTTTTCACCTGGGGAGGCTTCATGATTTCCATTGATACATACTGAGATACGACAAGGAGAACAGGTAATACAAGGTAAGCTGCAGTGTCAGACCAGCCCAATGGTGGATGGCCATCCTGCAAATAAATAAATACAAAACTCAGGCAGGATTTTCTTAATTGCTATTAGTATCATTTCGATTTTTATTTTTTGTTTGAAAGAAACCAAATTTTTGGCCAGACTGAAAGGCTTATGGCACAACTTTTTATTGTGGAAAAAATTGAATTTTATGTTGGAATTATTATCATTTACCCAGGGATTCTACTTCTTTCCCTCGGTAAGGTTTTGATTTAATGAATCGACTCTTCTCTCCTTTCCTCTCCTATAAAGTTTACGTAAATAAAAAAGGTCAAAGGTGAAGGACTGACTTTTTCTTAGTGCTTGCTCGTTACTGTATCCATATCGAAGAGATGCAACAAAATGTTTAGGATACTATTATTCCAACGGTTAGACCTTTTTTGGATATGGTTTCTCTATTTCAAATTTTTGTGGTACGGAAACAAAAAGACTAGAAAGAATGGACAAAGAGATGAAAATCCACTTCAGTCTCGAACCATTGACCCAATCCCTCTACTACCAACACTAACCTTATTGGGGGTGCAAGGGTACAGCCCACAGAATGATTTAGGATTTTCTATTAAGCCACTGCCCTTGACAAGTATAAACTACATATTCAAAATATGGGCCTCACATATTGTCGATATTTGGCTCAATATAGTCTCAGGCCAACTCATGATAATTAGCTTAATATCATTGGTCGTTGACATCAACTAGAGTTCCAATATGATGACAATATGTCAGAGAAAAAAGGACCCTATTCCTATCATCGTGACACATTGTAGTGATATATTCATCCATGCATACTGCTAAAGGTGAAATTGTATAGAACTTTCGAACTGCTTTAGAGAAAGAAGAATGAAGCAGAGAACTGCGGACTGATTTTTTTTGAAGTATTATTATTTTATATATGGAAGAGACCAACTTTATTGAACGAAAAGTATTTTTAAGAAGAGGAGAACTAAAAAACTTGTAATCAATGTGAAGAGGACGAAATCATTTTTAGTGGAAAAACCAATCAAAATCAAAACAGTACTTACACGCCTATAAACAAAAGAACCAACCAGACGGAGCCATAACGGAACTTATATATCATAGATAAATATACAGCAAAAGGGATCATCCTAAAAAAAGGGTGTTACGGATAATCATAAAAGTTCTGAGAAAAAGATGTCCATAGAGATGCGTTTTATCTTGCCAAGGACCAACCTACCCAGAGTCTCTCGACACTTTAAAATCTATTCTATTCCTCTCAAGCCAAATGCTTCATAAAACTACAAAAACAAAGAACTTGCACCCCAAGAACTCTTTCTTCGTGCCAAAACAAAGAGAGAAACAAGACTTTGTCATTAAACAACAATCTTTGTTATGAGTCAAATAGATGCCAAGCGACTCCAAAAAGAACTCTGAAATTGAAAGCGTAAACTAATATCTACAAAAAAAAAAAGCATGATCCAAGTCTTTAAACGTACTCTTACAAAAAAAAAACTTTAACCTACACAAAAATTCTATAGCCTCTACAACAGAAAAACCAATGAGTGCCTCAAAGGGAGGGGCATACAAGACACGACAGATGGAAAAAAGACCAACAAGTCAATCCAAGGAAAAATTGGTGTCCTAAACCAAATGTTTAGTCCTTGGACGGATGAAAGTGAAAACCAGCCCCACAAACTGAGAGCTGCTTAGAAGGGTGAGACCTGTTAGATAACCCTATACTACAAAAAAATCTGTTCCAAAGAGAAACATAATTCGGGCAACATAAGCAAACAAAAACGTGGAATTCAGTTTACCACAAAAGGAAACAACCAAGAGATTCCCGCTCCACTTTGTCGAGCAGCAATAGTAGTTGGTCCACCAAGAGAAGGAATCCAAAAGAAACCTTCTGTGAATAATCCCTTCAAGAATTAGCCATATTAGAAATAACAAATTAGACTGTGTGCCAAGTGACCGAAATAATCATCAATAACCATACAAAGCGAAGTTCAATTACCTCATTTGCCACATTCGAAAGGGCTTGATATAGTCCAATCCAGACTGGTATGGTGGCCAAAGTTGGGAAACAGCCTACAGAAACAGGATACTAATGAGGTCAAAGTATGCATAGATATCAAGAAAGATTATAACAATGAAAGAAAAAAAACAGAGAAAAAAGAAAAAACAGACTCATGAGTACTTTGTACCTGCTAAAGGATTAACTCCAGCTTGTCTATAAAGCCGCGATGTCTCAAGTTGTATTCTTTCCTTAAGAATAGAGAAAATAATACGATAGATGGAAGCAATTACTTTATAATTGAAACAAGAGAGGAAACCCCTCAATCCAAGCTCAGAACTCAGAAGTTCGTTAGCTTCCATAAAGAACAGAAATGCCTCACCTGATTGCCAGCGTATCTTTGTTGGATGGCTTTAATCTTTGGTTGAAGATTTTGCATAGCCAATGTTGACTCAACCTTAAATCACAAAGCATTCATTACCCGTTATGAGAAATTTGTAAGTACATAAGGGATTCCCTTGTCAACTGTCATGGAAAAACCGACTAACCTGTTGCTTGGTGAGAGGAAAAGTTGCAACCTTAACGATAATAGTAAGTAAAATAATTGCAAACCCATATGCATATGGCACATGCACAGCCGAAAGTCCATCCTTCAACACCTGACACAGTTTTATTCGACATGGTTTCATCGTCCAGACACAGAGCAACATCGAAAAATAGATAACCATTTTGGAAAGAGCCATAAAAAGGTAACAGCAGATTCATTGTTCCTCTATGCATATTGCTTGATATCATCCATACCCCAAGAAGCGCTCATATGAATTGAATTATCAATTCAACACTCAAGACATATGAAATACATCTCAGATTTTCTTTTCCACAATAGAGTAATTAACAAGCGCTCATATGAAAGGAATTTATCAATAAAGACAAGGCGAGTTTTATATATGCATAAGCTTACTTTAAGAACGACTTCCATGGCATCGGAGATAAATCCAAACCATCCACCGTTCTTCTGCACCGCGGTATCAGCGGAACTCGATGCGGCACCACCAGAAACAGTCGAATCCACTGCAACCGCTGCATCAGCAAGTGTGTAGAGCAGGCCTTCGGTCCTGCTAACAATTGCGTCAAAATTGAAGGTGGAATCGAAGGTATGGATGGGAGGAAGTTCATGGAAGCTGAAATTGACTCTGGTGGGGACGTGTCTCCGGTGAGGAAGAGTGTGGAGACGGCCATGGCGAGGGAGAGATGGAAGAGAAGAACCAACGAAGGGGGAAGATGAAATTAGGATTTTCGCCATGGAAGAGTCAGATTCAGCAAGGAATCCAGAGAGAAATTCAGCTTCGCATGAGAGAGAGAGAGAGAGAGAGAGAAGAAATGGTTGATGACGAAAGGGGCTGGCAGTCCAGTGGAGGAGGAAGAAGGTGCGGAAATCAAATCGAATTATCCACTTTGCAATCGGAATGGCGAAGAGGGAGTGCCACGCTGTACTCTTCCATACGTGCGGAGAAAAAACTTTTTTTTTTTTAAATACAAAATTATATTTTATTTAAATTACGTTATATTATAATAGAAAATGACTCTATTATATTAAACTTAGTGAGATTAAAAATAAAAATAAAAATAAAAACTAAATCATAATAAAAATATAAAGAAACTATTATATTAGTTTTAAATAATTTGAAAATCTAATGATATCAATAAAAACCTATTGAACTAATTTTAATTAATTATAAAATTTGTAATAATGCAATAATGCTTACATTATTTTAAATACAATCTCATAAATGAGTTCAGGCTGATCTTCATTTGTGCATGTAAGTGATACATTTGAACTTGAAATTACGTACGATGTGTGACAATTGACTATTTCGCATTATGAGAATTGTGGTAAACTTGCAAGTTTCTTCTTAACGTGTTTTTGAAAAAAAAAAGTAACATATATGAATGAATTAGTATTAGTATGATGCATGTTTTCATTTATTTTTATTTTAAAATTTAAGCAAATATATGTGTAACTGTAAATAAAATGGATATTCCTTGATTTACCCTAAAAGAAATAACAAAATTCAAGAGAGAAAAAAAAAAAAAAACTCTAAAATCAGAAAAAAAATTCAAATGATAAACCCCACAAATAAAAATCCTCCCTTTTTTCAAACACGTTTTTCCTACAGAAAAAATTCAAAGTAAGTTCGACAGCCGCCAGAAGACTCGTCGGCAGACATTCCAGAAGATGACGACGCCGACGCCGACGCCATCGCCTGCGGAGGAAGCGGCGACGGCGGCGGCGGTCCAACTTGTAAATCTCCAGTTGGGTGAGTGGGAAAAAGAGGGAGAGTTTGGGTGGCGGGGTTGTCAGTTTGACATGATTGGTACCCAAAGCCGGGATTATTAGTACAGCTTCTTCTCTCACTATTTGATCTCCTCGTCGTGGAATTACTTTGTTGGTGTGGATAAACCCCGACGTTGTTCTGATGTACGTAGTATGGGCTGCAAACCACTGTTCATAAGAAAAAAAAAATGAAAATTTAGCCAAAAAAAAAAAAAAAAAAAACCCTTTTAACCATAGAAACAAAGGGGAAAAAAAGAAGGAAAAAGCAACCATTTGGGGAAGGAAAATGGGGAGCAAAAGGTGGAAGAGGAAGAAAGTGATTAAAATAAGCCAAAGTGGCGGTATGGTCTTGCTTTTGCTTCTGTCTTTGCCTTGCTTTGTGATTTTGAAACCAATAGAACACATTTTTGCCTTCAATATGCCCATAACTCTTTAGCCGATTCGTAATCTGTTGTATTTGCTCAGCACTCGGCGTTCTCACGCCTTGTTCATACAAGTTCTCCAAAATGCTTATCTGTTCCTTCGTCGGATTCCACCGTGAGCTCACCGGAGTTCCGCCTATCTCCGCCGTGGCTTCCATGCTGCCTTATGATCTCAATTGTATTAGGGTTGAAGTTAGAAGAAAAATTGTGTGTAATTGTGGTGTAATTCTGCATGGGTTATATACATATATATATATATATATATATAGAAAATAAAGGAAGAGTCTTTATTTTTATTTTTTGGGTTTTTGGTTTAATTGGCCTCTCATTCTGAATACCCACACAAAAAAGTGAAAAGGGTTAAATTGTAAACCAATGGGGTGTGTAGGTAGAGGGTGATATGGACGAATGGGGAGAGATATAAGGACATGCGTATCGTTTTTGGCGCTCCAAATCTCTGAAAACATGGTGGGTAGAGGGAGGGACACCGTCTAGGGTTTAGAGTGAGGAGTAAGTGAAAAGACGAAATTACCCTGGAATAGAGAAAGCAATTGTAGGCCATTTGTAACACAAATTATTCCTTTTGTTTCTTTGAATAACAGTATGAGATGTAGGAATTGTAAGATGAAAAGTTTAATGAGAAAAAAAGAGAAGGGTTTTGTTGGAATGAATTAAAAAGGAAATGGGAAGGGAAGAGAGAATTGATATAAAATCTGGGGAATGACAGAGGAAGGGAAAGGCCAAGTAGGTTACGCCATTGAAGAGGGAAGGGGGTGAAGGGAAAGGCTTTTGACGGATAGGGTGTTGGGGGTTGTAAGGTGTAGGTAAGGGCTAGGCTTTGGGAATTGAAGTGTTAAGGCAATAGAGAAGGATACACAGATTCCATTTATATGTATATAATATTAGAAGAAGTTGAAAGGTTATGTTTAGATTTATAGAGATTGAGTTTTGTAAGAGTGATGTCAGTGTAATTTCAGTAACAAACTTATGAATAATTGATTTGAGTAATGCGATTAGTTGTGCTATTCAGGTGGCGTCGCCTCGTTAAACTAAAAACACCCACACCCACACCCACAGCCTCCTGCTGCTCTATTTTCTGAGCCACTCTCCGCAGCACCGAATACGATGCAGATTGGTTCAACTTCCTTTCTTCCTTCTCTCTTTCTTCTTCTGCATGCCGTCCTTCTCTCTCTCTCTCTCTCCCTTAACCTCTTCTATTTGGCCATACCCTCTCTCTCACTCTCTCTCTCTCTCTCATGCAATGCTGGCTTAATAATTCTTGATACCATTATTTTTTAAGATCATGGACTCTAATTATTGAAAATTACTACTTCACTTGGGATATTAGTAACCCTTTTCAAAGCTTTAGGTTTGAATCTTATTAATGGGCTCAAGAATACTATCTGCATTGGAATAAGTTCTTTTGGGGAATTAAAACAAAATTATGATGGAGTTGTGGTTTCTAATATAATATCAGACTCATGCTCTTTAACTTAGCTATGTCAATAGAATCTTCAAGTGTCGAACAAAGAAATTGCGAGTCTCGAAGGTATAGTCAAAAGTGACTCAAATGTCAAACAAACAGTGCACTTTGTTTGAGGACTCTAAAGAAAGAGTAGATTCTCGATTAAGAAGAGGTTATTCCAGGGCTCCATCCATATGCCTCAAAGGAGGTTCTATCATGTAATTTGTTCGGAGGGAGGATTGTTGACGATTATTAGGAGAGGAGTCACATAAATACTGTCTCCATTGAAATAAGATATTTGGAGGAAATCAAAACAAAACCATGATAAAAGTTATTATACCATTATGGAGAATAAATGTTTGAATGGTTAAATTATTGACCAACTTTTTTGTGATTTTAAGCTATATAGCTATGTTGTATAAGAAAACGATATTGAGTATCTTTCAATAGCATTGGACGAATGCTTTTGTTGTATCTTTTTAGCTTTTGTATGATGTTCTTAATAGGTATAGTACTATTATTGTTTGTTAAATTAATGAAAGATGTTAAATAATAAACACTAAAATCCATAAAATTATATAGGATCAATCTTGATAGTATAGTTTAGGGACCAAAATACTATGCTAAACTCAACATTCTTCTTCATATTTCTTATTTTTTTCATTAAAAAAACCATATTTTATGATTAAGATCTTCTTATTTAAAGAGTTGATAAAGGCATTAGGCCTATATACATTAAGAAAGTTCAAAAACTTGGTGTGTCCCCCTAGTCTTCAAAGGGATCCATTCTTGTATATAATTCACAATGCCCACAAAAAAAGTAGCCAAATGTTAATAAATATTATCAATTTCGATGGCTATAATGCATTTTCGTGCTACGAAAGATGCTATATTTTAAAAGTTCAAACTCGATAGAGTGAAGCAATATCTAGAGAGATACCTATGAAATACAATATATCTCACGTTATTAACATCTTTCATAAGAGTAATGGTGCATTTATGTAGTTTCTAGGCTAATTCTACAAGTGTTTCGTACTCAAAATTTGAGTTGGTGAGACACCATGGATCTCATTTCATACAATTCTTCATCCATGCTTATGACCATTTTCTCATCTTTTAGAAAGTACAACCAAATTCGAATCGCATAATACGACCACAATTATAAGTCGTTAGAATTAAGAACGTTACTTATTGCATCATCAACGAATCTGTTGCATTAAAAATCAATTCCATATCATGAAAAATCTATAATAAGTTGCATGATCGAGCTCACAATGCAACAAATATGGTAAAAACGACATCTTATTTTCAAAAAGATACTTCACTAGTTTTGTGAAGCTTCAAAGTTTAGTTTTTGAGGTATTCCAAGTAATTGCTATAACTAAGGAATCAACCAATTACTACAAATGAACTTCCCAACTCTATTTTTGTACTAACTTAATGGAAGGATTGCTAATTCTTTCATCATGACACAACCTTTTATAATATGCATCTTCTCATCAGATATGTCGTTTACTTATATGCAGAAAATCCTGTTTATTGAAAAAAGCAACCTGCACATTTAACCATAAAACAATTACTATTCATCGTGCTCAATTTTGTAGCGTCTCAACATTCTACACAACTATAGATATGCATGCTTAGTATCCCAATTGCACACTTGTCGTAGCAGGATAGCGATTATGAGCTATTTGTTCTAATCTAGTGAACAAGTCATCCGTGTGAAATTCAGATTTTGCAGACAATAATGGCGTATGTTCAAGCAGAATCACGTTTGAGAAAAATATTTTAGAAAATGTGAGCAAATAATTCTAATAAATAATGAGCTATATGAGACTTTGATAATGTTCGATCGATTTGTTTGATGGTGAAATTGAGTTGGTTTATTAGTTTCCATGGTTTGATACAATCTTTTAGAATATTTGTATCTTAAACCAATTAACAATTTACTTGCCTAATTAACATATGTTTTCAAGTTGATGCACAAATTTTCATAAACAATGTTATATCCTCTTTGAATCTTCTCTCCTTTCAAAGATGTTAGAAGTGAATTTATCTAAATTGAATAGGACATGACAATCGAAGGGATTGGTCATCTAACTCAAACTCAGATAAACTGGAGTTTCGTGATTTCTCTTCTTTTATTTGCTATTTCTTGAAGCTTCACAAGCATTACTGTATTTTTCTTAAGAGTCTCTTATTTGAAATAGATTGAGGTAAGCTCATTGAAGGTGAATTAAAAATGGTGATTTGAAGGGTTGACTTCCCAACTTGAACTCTTCACGATAGCAATCCAATATAGATCTATTACCTTTTTGTTCATCTTCGATGTCAGTGTGCAAGTTTCATAGTAGACAATACCAATTGTTGAGGGTTCACCTAGAATGTTACTCTCTTTCATCTCAATATAGCTAGGAGAAAGTCCCATTGGGTTTCTCCCAAAGAATGCATACCCACATAGACTTGAGCGGGGACATGTTTTTTAGTCACTTAGGAATGCTCTCAAAGTAGAATTCAAGATATTGAGTTCCAATTGAACATAGTTATTGAACAAAACACGTTATGCATTGATTAGAACAGAGATTTAATAAGTAAAAGAAGTGGGAAAGAATATAGCGTTTGCCGTTTTGCAAACTCCCATGTGAGCTGCCCTCCATGGCCAACCATGAGCGCCACAAAAGTCCCAATTACAACGCCTTAATCACGCTCACCCTAGCCCCCACGCCTGGCCCCCCACTAAACCCCAACCGAATAAAACCACTCAAGTCAATATCACTTCTTCGGTTCTCTCGCTCACAATCAAACACTCAACCGCCCAAACCTCCCTTCATTTCAAATTGACATATTTAAAATTATAATATTAAATATTTTTTAAAGAATTATTATAATTTAGGGCTCTTTAATCCCACCCAACTGCTTCGTTTTACACAATCGTCAGGTCGCTATTTCCCATTAATTTCAAAATTTTCAATCCTTTCTGGGTAGTTGGAGTCTTCCTTCTTTTTCCTTCCTCGCTTTCCTGACCCCTCTGAATTCTTCTCCCCTGCGATCAAATTTCAGATTCCTTCTTCCACTCGAGGGGATGCCAAATTTCATCTCCCAATGCCTTCTTTCCCTTGGTTGTATATCGGCTTAGGCCTGGCTCTGGGGTTCCTCTTTTTGGGCATAGTTGCAGAGCTTTACTATCTTCTATGGCGGAACAACAGGAGAATCAATACAACAGAGCTTGAACAGGACGCCTACAACAAAGCCCGCCCGTTTCCTTTCATTCCTTCTGAAACTAACTCCACTCGTGAAATTACCAGAAACCCCCTTGAGAATCGCCATGGATTGGACCTTGAGTTCGGCAGCGGGGAGGATTTGTTGTTGAAGACCACGGCGGAAGACTATGAACACGATGAGGCAGAGGACGAGGACGTTGAGCTGATGGCGATTTACAATCTCGCAGGGCAACCGAGATTTCTGTTCACAATCAAAGAGGAAACCAGGGAAGATTTGGAATCTGAGGATGCGAAATCGAGAGGCGATAGAAGTAGAAAAGGATCGAGAAATCGAAGCTTGAGCGATATAATCACAGCCATTGAAACTCCATTTTTCACTCCAATCGCTTCTCCTCCATTGAAAGCTTCTCCTCTCTGCTCTTTAGATTCTTACAAACTCCATGAATTCAATCCGCTCTTCGAATCCTCAGCA